CCAAATGAAGCTTATGTCAGCAACCAACAACGGCTATAGCCTCCATACCTGAAAGCTTCCAGAAATGGCTGACCCCAACTACAAAGGCCTGCTTAGGCATGAACGGCTTCCGCGCAACGTTTCGATCGACTACTTCAAGCCTGAGTTCTATAACACACTCCCTGCTCGACTTCGTGCGCACTACTACCAGCATGGTGTCGCTCTTCCTCATCGCCGTCATTGGACCAATGGTCATGTCCCAGCATCATTCAAGGAATTAGATGACGAGGAGTGGGAGGAGTTTGAGTTTGAGGTTCTGGGGGACTATAATGCGCCAACAAATTTGGAGATGAATCGGGCTTTAGGCTTTCCGTTTCTGTTTGCTAGTGGTGGTGGCCATGAGTGAGCATGTCACGCAACCTAGATCAACACGATGGGATGACACAAGTCCTGCTGCTGCCAAGCCTTAAAGCCTGGATCTGGCGGGGCAGGTAGGAATGGCAAGGACAGTAGCAAGTTCTTCAATCATGTTGGCATTAAATGTGGGGCATGATTAGTAGTCAGACGCTAACCAGAGCTTGTCGGAAATGGTGGTTGAGATCAAGCTGGCAAAGGCCATCCCAGCAAAGGAGAGGCCGACGATGAGATCTTGTAGGACATTAATACACTTAGAAAATGAGCAGTAGAGCAGATCAATGATCAATCAAACTCTAATCAAATCAAATCCTAACTTTTGTGTGTGTGTTCGGGGGTTCGAGTTGCAGGAAACAACTAACCAAATTGCCAGCTAGCGGGGCGAGGCACGAGCCGCCGCTAGCGTGAGATAAGCTAGCGTGGGAGCGCTCAGCCAAAGCCGAGACTGACATCATTTTTAGCGACTGACATCATCATTTAGCACTTGCTCGACACCACCATCTTGTGTGGCTTCAAGACTTTTTTGCGTGTTCCCTCCTCACTCTACCTCTTTCCTTCTGCCTTCCATTCCCTTTCCTTATGTCCTCCCATTAAACATACCAGCTTTTGTGGCTAAAATTCATCTCTAGGACGTGCTCTGACCTTAAGCATTGGTTAGGGCTTTCCCTTAGGTGGAGAACGATCTTTGGCTGTCCCTGGGTCTTCCCTGAGGGACAGGGTATGTTCCTGTTACTCTCCTTCCCTCCTGCTCTTCCTATTTCACTTCTTTCTCCCTTCCCCCTTCTCTCCTTTGTTATCTTCCTTCCTTCCTGCTCTTTCTATCCATTCTTCCCACCCCTCCTCTCTGTCCTAGCGCTCTGGGTAGGGTGTCCGCCGCTGCTTTGCGTTTGCCGGCCGTGCTCTTCGCTTTGGAGCGCTGCTCCTTTGGGGGTCTGGCTGCTCGCTTCTGGCGTCGGTTCCCACCCAGTCGTGGCGTCGTGCTGGCCGCAGGCTGCCCCGAGTTTTGTCTCCCACCCAGAGCTGCCCAAGTTGCCCTCTTGTGGTTGGGAGCCCCTCGGGTGAGCGTCTCCCTTTTCCCGGAGTTGCCTATGTTGCACTCTCAGGGCGGAGCGTCTCATTTGTGGCCTTGCGGCCAAGCCTGGCACATTACTACCTATATATCATCATGCGCTTATGCGCTCATGCATAAATTTTTGTCTTCCCCAGTCTCTTCAAAAATTTATGTATTCACACTCCTACCTACCTATATGTACTACTCCCGACGGCTGGCCGCGACAAGCTAGCTTATTCAGAGATGTTCAGGGATTACACTAGAATTTAACTTATTTAGTGCTTTCAACAGATCAGATGGTTTGTGATCGAGAACACAAAAGAAGGAGTAATATGGCTCAACCTCTCAAATGTTCTGAATTAACAAGAGAATATATTTGCACTTAACACAAAACACAAACTCAAAACAAGTTATAAAACCTGTTTTAGTAGTGCAATTCAAATAGCTTCCTTGCTTCCTTGCAACCTGCAATAAACCTGCACCTGTACCTATAATAAACCTGTGACTTGCTTCCTAGCTGCCTAGTTGTGATACTAGCTGTCTAGCTGCCTTGCTTCCTTGCCAAATAAAGTAAGAGATGAGGTGTAATTCGTTAATTAGCTACTACATTTAAGCTCCTTATATACTTCTCAGAAAAATAACTAATGATAGGATAATTAAACTAATGATGTGACCGAGAAGCGCTATTAGCACTGCTTTAAGTCATATTGAGTCATTTGAAGTCAGAGAGGCTGTGCCTTCAGAAGCAAGGTCCTGAGAAGCAAAATCCTATTTTAGTCTAGTACACATAGCCTTGAGAAGCATTCTCAAGCATAGCCCCAGTGTCAAACCAGTACTATGGTAACCTTCCCACACTAGTTCCGATGTTTTGACAGCATCTCACATGATCAGAAAGCGCTGCAAAACACTACAAACTTGGCCTTTTGTGCAACTATTTAGATAATAGTGGTTGTGAGTGTCATTGTGTGTTGTGTATTGAAAATCAAGAAAATCTATAGATTTGAGACATTTCAGGCATAGTCAATTTCCATGCTTGTCAACATAGTAGGTAATGGCAGACAGTGGCATCAACAAGGTTGACAATTGCGTCAATGAGTTCAAGAGGAAGGGAATCCATGACACATGATGTCAAAAAAAAAAAAAAGGAGCCAAAAATGGCACTCTATGGAGATGCTGTGACAGGGAATCGAACCCCAAGCGGGTCGAGGCTGAGTGGCAACAACCCAGGTTACCATTATACCCCACCACAGCAATGAGAGAACACAGATAGTGTAGCACCATATAGTGGCATTTCGATGTAGTATGTCAAATTCACCCAGTGCAAGGCAATGTGGCCACAGTGATGAAGGGGCGGGTCTCCCGCCGCAATGTGGCCACAAGGCAGGGAGACGCGCGTGACTCGATATTCGGTGTTCAGTAAGTCATGTGATGCAGCTTTGTCGAGTGATAAAGCGGGGGTGACGGTGACAGATTCACGTGCGCGGGACACTGAACAGCGGAACATCGAGTCACTCGGCAGCGGCGCGAACGAGACAGTTTGCCTTGGGCGGTAACGAAGCCACAGTGGGCGTGGGCGGCGCGGGCGGGCTTGTGCTGGGCGTAGGTCGGCGCAGCGGTGGTGAAGGCGGCACGTGCGGGTAACATTGCAGTGTGCTGAGCGCCCGCCAGCGACGGTGTGTGGGCGCTCGCGGTGGTGCAAGGCCACGTGCGTGTGAGGTTGCAGTGACAGCGGGCATGGGCTGGGCGGGCATGTGCTGTCACGGTCACGTTGTTCGTGGCGCAGAGATCAAGGTCCTAGCAGGGGAGGATCCAAAGCATGAACATTGGTAAGCAAATACAAATGAAGCTGACCTGGCAGGGGAGGATCCAAAGAGAAGAAACTCTAAGGGTCCGGCTGCTAGGTAGCCAACTATATACTGCTTGTCCGTAGCTGCCACTGTCGGGCACAGAAGGCCTGGACGGCGTCCCAGGCAAGGTCCCAGGGCGACCGTCAGGAGGGTGTTCGGTGATTGTGTGGGCAAGATGGAGAATCAGAATCAGAATCAGAATCAGAATCAGAATCAGAACTAGGGGGCTGAAAGGGAGGTTCTCCTGACAATATGCAATAACAGTTGTAAAAATTGTATCTGACAATAATTGTACCATACTCAAGCCCAAATATTCTTTAAAATATAGTGCCACATCATCATTACCCTAATTTGTTAGGTAAAAAAATTGTCATATATCATAGTAATTTGTCACTTATTTTGAATATAATAGGTAAACTTTGGTGCTGTTGTTGATTTTTGAGATATATGGTCTTATACTGTACTATTTTAATAATCAGTTTGTTAGTTACACATCACACAAGGCTTAAGCCAATGAATTTTCTTTGTCAGTCACACATATCTGGCAGAAATTGGCCCCAAATTAGTTGCTATATGGTAAATTTTTGTCCGATCTGGTGCCTTTGGCCCCAAAATTCCCAAAGAAATTGTGGATATTTTGAAGAGACTCATGGTAGCTGAGGGAGAATCAGGTGGAATCTGAGGTAATTTGGAAAGTAAAGTTGGTAATTTAGGTAATTTGATGAGAGAAAGAGAAAGAACATCTTGCTAAGTACCTTTCTGTGTCATTAAAATCACTGCCCAAAAAGGAATATGGAAAGGGGCAATTTCAAGCAATCTTTTGTTTGTTTTTGCACCAAGGTGACCTTTTGGTATAAATAGAAAGAAGCATTGAAAGCCCATCTTTTAAATAGTCTTTTTATGACCAGGGGAAGGTCAGCTTTCTTTGTGTCTGAAATAGTGATTTTCAAGCCTGGGCTTAAGCCCACAGGTCCTGCCTGGCCCTAGGGCCAGAGCTTAAGAAACACAAGCAAAAAGTTATTGTTTTGATTTCTGTTTCCATGCAATTGAAATATAGTATTTCTTTCACCAAGAAATGTATATAAACATGTGTAAATTAATTCATGTTTATTTCAATCAATTCAGTATGTCACCATCACACCCGATTTTTGGAAGCACTGGGAATAATTTTTCTTGATATTTCAGCACACATTCCCAAGGTTGCTGGTGGGCCACTGATTGCTTGAAAAATGTGTTGATTCACAAATTTGCAAAATTGCGAGGTGATGTGACGTGGTGTGATGTGACATATGGTGTGACGTGATGTGACCTGACACGACGTGGTGCACCTTGATCATGACTGACACGTCAACCTGTCTTCGACTCTTCGTCTTGTTCCCACTTGGTCGACCGCCAGTCCGTTTTAGCTCTGTGCCTGAGTTCGACGGGAGTCTCTTCATCATGATCGACCAAGAGTCGGAGGCTCGGAGCCAATCTTGCGTCAAGTTTCAACCGGGCCAGCCCTGCCCAGAGCAGAGCCAAACGTATAGCGAGGTGAGTACCAGTGATATGTTTCCGCTCATCCACCGACTTTCTGAGTCAAGGCAAGCTACTCTCCTCCGAGTTCCGCGACGGCTGTCTCAGACCAAGTGGATATGCCCTGTCTCGAAGGGCTATAAGTCCGGCGGCATCCGACGCCATGCATTACTCCACTACTCGTACCTTCGGTCATGACTGTGCTCGAGAATATCTTTGCGTGCGTCCTTACCCTCCCTCCGGTCCTGATTCGACTAAACCCCGGTCTCGCTAGGCCGGTGCTCCTCGGCACATGGTTTAATTCGATGATATACACGCTGGAGCTGCTCCTCGTATACCTGTTCTATGCCCAGAAGAAGTGTGCGTCGTCCTCCGCCTTTCGGTTCTTCGCTGACTCTGCCCGCCCTGCGCAGCAGACGGCCAACACACGCTGTTAATGCGTTGTATGGTCGGGTTGTTGCTGGTGGCCGACACGGCAGGGTCCATGGGGAATGCGGCGTATGCATATCTCGTAGGTTCCGAGCGCTGTCTCTCTCAGTGACCTCCCTGAAGCTGTGTAGATGCTGGTGAAGCGCTGGGGCGACCTGTCCTTCCTCGCTCTAAACCCCTTGCCCGGTGCAGTTGACGTAAGTCTCTTCCCTCCCAAGTTTGTCGCAGGACTTTCCATTTACCAAGAGCAGTGCATAACGTCTAGCTTCAGCGGATTCGTCGTTCAGCTATACCTTATTTGGCGATTCAGTATTTTGTGCGTCGGCTCCTTTATCGCATCTCGCTTGCGCTGACGCAGTGGATCTCTTAGGTCCAAAAACTACGTAGTTTGTGGCATTCTTGTGCTCGGAGCGATGACTTCCCTCGGTGGTGGGATCGGCACGGGGATCGCCTCTCTGCTCCACAGGGAGGTGAGCCAGCGCCAAAAGATCGTCCCGATCACCACGTACGTACTGCAAACAATCAACCGCCACCCTTTGACCGTCTGACAGGGTGTGGTTCGCTGCCTCGGTGGCCACCGACGTCTGCATCGCCGCCGCGCTTGTCTTCCAGTTGCGCAGTTACGACAGCGGATTCCAGAGCACACGCAGCATGGTGCACCGGCTGATCGTGAACGCGGTCCAGACCGGCTCCGCCACGGCCACCGTGTCCATCGTCGTTCTCGTCACGTTCGCCGTCCGGCCGAACACGGCCATCGCGCTCGCCCCCGGCTTCATCGTCGGCCGGGTGTACACGTGCACGCTGCTCTTCAACTTGACCGCGCGCCGCCGCATGGGCGAGGCGACCAACAGGACGGTGACAAACGTGTCGGGGGAGGCCTCCCAGTGGCGCGTAGCCGCAGGGAGCACACAGACTCCGAGTCGGCACGACCCCTTGGCGAGTGTCTGTGAGGCTGCGCTTTTGTTTCTAACTTGTTGTTGGGCACTCACATTTCATTATTAAGCCATGGGACTTGCAGGAAAAGTCTTGGAGAATAAAGACGAGAAACTTGGGCAGGCAGACACTCATGTTTCTGAGTTTGGATATCGCTTTGCGGACACCAGCAATAATCGCTTCGCAAGTTTCTGGGGAATGGCACGATCAGGATGCTATGGACGCGGTATTCAAACTGGCAGTCGGGCTCCCTCACCTTCGTGCAATAACCTTGGCCTTCTTTCGCGGCGCGCTGGCAACATGGACACGTTTCTCAGCTGAGTTCGCACCGGGAGGAACAGTAGATGAGCTCACTGCTGCTGAGCGCCTCTTGGCATGGATGGCAACGACAAACGACGTTAACGAAGGGTTACTGGGTCGATTCCGGGTCATGATGCGAGGTAAGCCGACCATGTCGCTTCACCAATTCAACGCCCAAGTCATGTTTTCGACAAATGAGACCATTCATTTCATGAATGCGCTGTTCACACCAGAGGACCACAAATTCATCATGCGAGAAGCACGCCGGATCGATGAGAGTGGGCTGGAAAAGCAGAGGAAGTTTGCTCAGCGTGCCCTTCGTCAGAAGCTCATTGAGATCAACAGAGAGAAGGAGGCAGCGCGGGCGCGAAAGGCTGAAGAGATCCGAGCAAAGATGGACGCGCTGCGATTGATTCGACGGGTTGATTTGGACGCGCCTCCACCAGGAAAGAGGAAATGGACTGGGGATCTTATCAAGGCACAACTAGCCGCCCTTCGTTATCGTGGGGTTGACCTCCCGGCCACATCAAAGCTCTCAGTGGAGAAGAAAATGGCTGTTTTGAAGGAATTCTTGACAAAATATGCAACAATGATGGACGAGCGTGGCTTGATTTATGGCAGCCATGTCAGCGGCGCTCAAACGGGTACTTCTGGTCAGGCCATGGAGTTGGAGGATGAGGAAGATGTCGAGATGGAGGATGCTGAGCTATAATTCATACTAATGACTACGATAATTTCTTGTATTGCTGACTTTTTTGTATAATTACTGTATCTACACATGTACTGTATATACTTCTAACTAGGATACTCATTCGAGAGGTCAAATGTCTTCATATTACAGTTGGGCGTTGCTTCGGACAAGATTTGGGTGGCGGTGCTATTTCCATCAGGCCATCATCAGCCCGCGGATGCCAGTCCCCATTTCATACGCAGACGTGCACGATCCCGAGAAAGGACCCGGGGGCTATGCGCGGGGGTGCGATTCGGAGACGGCACATAGCGACACGGGTGAGGGGAGGTCGGGAGGCGACATTGAATGACTCACGACAGAGAGGCCATCAAAGGAGCATAATGAATGTTGAACCCTTGTAACTGTACATGTATGCTTGAACTTGAATGTTATAATTGAAGACAAACACACATGATTTTCGCTGGCCTTCATTCCTGCTTTCAAATAATCAGAGTTCGAGTCATCGCTCAGTGGTATCTCGGTTGTATTCTATCTCGTTTTTCGTGGAGATGCATCCTATATTTAATGGTTCCCTGAATTCACAGACACGCTGTCTCCCAGCTTCTTATCGCTTCCACGGATGTCGTGGTCCCTATCCACTTGCACAATGTGGTGGACGTCTGCAGCAACTCGATGAGCGGAGAAAGTAAACCAAGAAAAAGCGTGACGCACGGATGCCGCCATACGTGTCGAGCCGCGTGGCACGCGGGCCCGAAGTCCCTGCGCCGGCCCGCGAGCCCGAGAAGTGGTCGTCGGAGTCGGTCGAGTTGCCGGCATCGCCCATGCGGCGCGTGGTCAGGTTGAACAGCAGCGTGCAGCCGTAGAGGCGGCCGATGATGAACGCGGGGACGACTGAGATTGTCGTGTGCGGCCAGACCGCGAACGTGATCAGCACGAGCGCGGAGACGACAGCCGTGGCCGAGCCGGTCTGGATTGTGCTGACGATGAGGCGGTGGATGACGCTCCGCGTGCTCTTGAAGCTCGTCCGGAAGCTGCGCAGCTGTATCACGAGGGCTACGGCCACGGCGATGTCGGTGACCACAGAGGCTATGAACCAGACCCTGTGAACGTGAGACTCCGATAAGCCACCGGCGTCGAGGCTGGCTACGCACATTATTATTGGGACGATTTTCTGTCGCTCGCTGACCTCCCTGACAATTATTGACAGTATTCCTGTCCCGAAGGCGCCGGCCAGGGCGGTCGTCGCCGCGAGGGCGAAGATGAGGCAAAGGACATAATTCTTCGACCTACAGGGGATGGCTTAAGTCGTCAGCGGCGGAAGCGGGTAACGATGAACGCACAGAATACTGTAGCGCCAGATGAGATACAGCTGGACGATGAATCCGCTAATCCCGGACGTCAGGCACTACGAACAGGGGCATTAGTAGTGGCAATTGTTGACGCGCTGGAGGACGCACGTCGATTGCACCGGCCGGAGGATTCCGCGCAAGGTATGATAAGTCGCCCCAATGGGTAACCAGCATCTGTTACACTCGTTGAGCGACGGAATCAGCGAGGAAAACATGGGGTCACGGTACCAGATATGCGCCGGCGCAGTCGCCCATGGTCCCCGCGGTGTCGACAAGCAGCTGGAACGCCACAAGCCAGCGCACGAACGTCGTGTTTGCGCCGGGCGATCGTACTGTGAGCGCGAGTAAGCTGGTCTCTCAGATGCAGGAAGCGTGAGCACGGCGCACAGTTCTTGTTGGTATAGTACTGGTAGGCGAGGAGGAGCTCGAGCGTGTAGACCATGAAGTTTAGACATGTACCAATGAAAATCGGCCTACAAGACAGTCAGTTCCTCATCGAATCGTGCGAGGACACCACGCACGCAAAGACCGTCTGCAGCGCGGCGGCGACTGAGCTCGCCATGGTAGCGCGGGCGAGGAAATCGGATGGAGCGTCTGCATCCGCGCGGCCCCCGGCCCCGTTCTATATATCCAAGATTCGAAGCCTTTCTGAGTCAGGTACATTCGATTGGTCAAATGCACTCCCGGCATTGAGTCGTTGGCATGGGAGGGGGGGCGTTATGAGCGCCGCTGGGTGTCGCGCAGCGCAGATCAGGTATTGAATGGCGACATCCGTGCCAACAGGCTCCTCTCGCCAACTTGGCGAGGAAATAGTCGCGCCGATCCGCGCGTCGCTGCATTAAGGAAAGTCTTCGATTGCAAGCGCTTCTGACGGGTGACGGAGAGGGGCTCAGGTCGAGTTGGCCGAGAGCCTGAGGGCGGAAGCATGTCTTAGTCTCCCCGGACAGGGTGCAGGTTCGTCGATTCAAGCCAAAGGGAACGTTCGAGTTGCGGTGCGGTACCTCGTCTGATACTTGTGGAGCTACTAACCTAATGTCATTTCGAGTGGGCGTGCGAGCTTGGAAGACGGCATACGTACCTCTGGATAGGGTTCCTCTGATTATAATCTTGCATGATTACAGCCCGGGCAGGAGCTGGCGGGAATGATGACGAAGTGGAAGAGAATAGGAGGTGGTGGATGACAGCGGGGCTGGCCGGATGTTGCGCTACAACGTTTATACTTACACGACACCCTTGACGACACCCAAGACGAACGACTGCCAGCAGCAAAAAGCTCCTAGCCTACTTGTAAGCATACCAAAGAGACGCGTAAGAGAAACGGGGTAACACACTCGTAGCAAGTAATGGATGAGGAATGCCGGTCATATCACGAATCGGGTCGGATACTCCGGCGAAAGAGCGGGAACCCATCAAACTGTTCTGATGTGCTCCCATTGTGGATGGCTGTGAGAAGGAAAAGACGTTTGATGTGACAGCACGCGTTTCCATCGGCAATCGTTCCCCGATCGGGCCTAATTTCGGGTAATTTCCGAAATATGATATAGGCACTGAAGTTGGTGCAGTGACTGAACAGAGTATCGCACAAGTTGAAGTAGATTAAAGATCAGAGTTTAGTGCATCGCGCTTCAAGGTCTCCAGCTCACCCCAGCTGGGCAGATCGAAAATCTGGGGCAGCCTCGCCCAGAGGCTTTCCCGCGCGGCCCGATGGGCGGCCCGCATGTCCGCAACACACAGCGGACACACTTGGGCTTCCAGCGAATTCCACGATACCGGCCCCCAGAGATGGAGTGGCAGGCCCAAGGGCTCCGCGGGCCTGGAGCGCATGAACTGGTCCACGGCCAGACGGACGCTGGCTCGGCTCTGTGCGCACTGCTCTTTGGACGGGCACCCCGGGTTGGGGGCTGCCGAGAGGAATGCTAGCACTTCCCACCGCTCTTGTGTGTCGAGCTGTCGCAGACCGACGACCCAGCGTTGCTTGTCTTCCACACTCAGCGGCGAGCGGAGGATCGCCCCTTCGTAGGTGGGCGAGCACATCCAGTAGAAGGCAACGGGAAGCATCCACTCCATTGACACCCGCCGCGCAGTGAGGATTACGGTCGGCCAGTCGACGCCGGGTCCCGGGCCGGCCGCCTTCTGGTGCCGCTGGCCGGATGTGTCCAGCGCAGCGAGTGTGGTCGGGAAGAGGAGCGACACATGATGGAGGCTCCGTTTCAGGAGAGAAGACACCTCGTATTTGTGGGCCATCCGCAGAATAGAGAGCAGCACCGCTATCGTGTTGTCCGTCGCATTGAAGCTGAGGAAACTAGGGACAGTGTAAGCACGCAAGTCGAGGGCGAGGTGGAGCACGCACTCGTGGTAGAGGAGGCCTTTGAGGACCTTGGTGGTGTCCTCGGCCGAGTCGGGGAGGCCCACAAGCGGACAGCCGTCAAAGGTCTCTGCGTCGGTGGGGGCAGGGCCCAGCGCCAGCATATCCCTGAATATCCGCGAATGTGTGGCCATGAAGTCCCGAGAGACACGGAAAACAGTGTTCTCTGCACGCAACACAAGCCCGCAGTCGCTGAACCAAAGCCCGTCCGCACGCGCGGGTGGTGGTGCCTTGACGGTGCGATCCACGTTCATAGCAGATGATGGTCAGAAGGACAGAGGGCAAGTGTTCACACGTGCGTCAAAACCCATCGGCGGTAAGGATAGCTGTATGGATCCGCTTTCAATAGACTATCATAGAGTCTAGTGTTGAGTGTTTGACTGTTGGTGCAAGTTATGAGGTGACGGTCAAAAGAGAAGAGTACTTTGGTGCCAAAATCAAGATTGTGTTTCATCCCAATCCTACCCGGTATGGCCCACTTTGCGTGCCCATCACCCGATCGCTTGATCGTAAATTTTCGCTCCCTCTTTCCGACGGCCATGTCGACCCGCACGCGCCGGGTCTCAGAGCGCGATGACGCGAGCCCGTCTGCCTCTGCAAGCACGCGCCCCAACCGCCGCCAACGTGTGGGTTCCGTAGCTGGTCCCTCCACGCCTCCAACACCGACACCTTCATCCAGTGCAACACTGAGGCCCCAGCCACGCCCCCTAACTCAGCCACGCCCACTCTCAGCACCGTTTCCCACCCTACTCCCACTCTCTCAACCGGCGTCATCGTCTGCCGCCCCCATTGTCGGCCTTGCCACGGTCTCAGCATCGACCCCCGGTTTTCGCGATGGGCATTTCTACAAGATGGATGGGAACTGTATAGTCAGAGTTGGCGACACGCTTTTCAAGGTGTGTCTCTCACGTTTTCTCGCCGCTGTCATTCATTCATTTTGTCGCAGATCCACAAACACCTGCTGGCGCCGGAGAGCGATGAGCACGCGCTGTTTGGCGCGCTGTTGGCGCTGGCGCTCGAGGACTCGGAGGGGGACAGTGACGAGCGGCCAATAATCCTTGAGGGGGATACGCCGGACGACCTGCGGGCGTATTTGCGATTCCTTTACTCCAAGTGCGTCAAAACCTGAAGTCCTTTCGGCTTACTCACGAAAGCCTACAGCCCATTGCAACTGCGCGACGAGAATATCACCGTTGCAGACCTCCCGCAGCTCGCCGTCGCCGGACGCTTCGCCAACAAGTACAGGATTGAGTCGTTCGAGGAGTGGGTCAAGCTGGTAGTCACCGGGAAGCTCTCCCAGCCTGACGCCCTGCGTGGCTGCTCCGACGAGGCGTTTCTCGAGCTTTTGCGTTTCAGCCAAACTTGCGCGGCCCCCATCCTCACCGAATCCGTGTTCTCTGCCTGGGCCCGTCACAAGCTTGGCGCTGGGGCGGATGTGGCTGGTGTGGTGGCCCGAATGTTAACCCTTAACGGCTGCACGGGCGATGTCAAAACGATGGTCGGCGTTATGCATTACGCGCAACTGCTGTCGCTCAACCAGGCCCGTCCCCTTCCCGAGCCCCGTGTCTCCGACCTCTACACCCCTATCCATATCTCATCGACATCGCTCGGCGATACTCAGCACCTGCGTCTCCTGCAGGCCCACCGCTCGCTGTCGCTTTCGTGGGCCCGCATCACCGACCACCTCCTCTTCCACATCCAGCTCTGTTCGAATCAATGTCCCACCTCTGCCGTATGCCACAACGCCTGGCGGACCGCCGTTCGTGTGGCGCTGCTCGCCGCGCCGGACCAGCCGGACTATGACCAGATGCTGCGCACCCTCCAGGAGATGCCGTTGCAGGCATGTGTGGACACGAAGAACCGCACCGCGGGGGTCTTGAGGGAGGTCGGAAGGGAATGGACCAGGCGGTTGGTGGATCATTTTTCGCTGGAGGAAGACGTTTAAACCGCAAATTTGTGTAGTGCCAGTGTCCGCTATCATACGTGTCGACTTAGCTGAATACACTTACAGTATAGCGCATGCACCTTCCGTTGTTATAAAATGCAGTCGCAAGAGAACGAGAACGCAGGCCGAGTTATGTACGAGACAGGTAACTCTTGGGTAACTCTCCGAGACAGCCGAAGCACGTGGCCAATCGCCAATTGCCTCTCGACCGCCATCATCCATCGGCTAGACCGTCCTCCTTTCCGCCAACGAGAGCCGCTAATGTCGAGATCGCCATTCCGCCTTTCCGCTGGGCCGAGTCAGCCCTCCGACGAGATGCAGCGCAGCCTCTGCACGAGTGGCAGTGTGCGGGAGCTATGAACTATCCAACCAATGCATCCTCAGCTACATAGGACGTCGACCACCCGGGTTCTTCGGGCTGGCCGTGTCCGCGCGACGGAAAGGAGTGGAAGCGCTGGAACATCAGTGATCGACGCCATTCAGTCGTGGATCACTAGTCCTTCTTTCCTCGCCGATTTTTCGCTAAGTAGTCAGATGGAAGAACCCCCGTAGCCTATGGCCGGCTGCGTCGCCACCAGCGGCGCATCGCGGGCGGACCCCATTTATAATTATGCAACGACTCAATGGACGACTGCATTAGTTCTAACCCCCAATCGAAGGTGCCTGAGGGGCTCTTATATAGATTCTGTTCCTTGCGCAAGCGGGCACTCTGGTCCCCCCATGGCGAGCACGGTAGCCGCTTCGCTGCAGAACATATTCGCGTGCGTAGCCCCCACTCGCTGCTGGTGCCAACGATTGACTCCTCTTTCAGGCCGGTGTTGCTGGGTACATGGTTCAACGCCATGGTCTTCACGCTGGAGCTCATCCTGGCGTACCAGTACTACTCCAAAAAGAATCGTCCGCGGCATCTTCTCTCGTTGGACTGGTGCGCCTAACCATCCTACGCAGTGCGGTCTCCCGGCGCAAATACAGCATTCGTGCGCTGCCTCGTCGCATTCCAGCTTTTTGTGGACACCGCGGGGACGGTGGGGAACTGTGCATACGCTTACCTAGTGAGCATCTATCGCATTCTTTCCTGGGTTTCAGTTGCTCACGGCGGCAGATGCTGGTAACCCACTGGGGGGACCTGTCGTACCTCGCCCTGAATCCCGTTGCTGGGGCAATTGACGTAAGTCCAGAAGCTATCTGGAGTAACGTCTCCGCTCATCAGGGTGAATGAAGTGCTTCACGTCCGGGATCAGCGGATTCGTCGTTCAGCTGTATCTCCTTTGGCGGTATAGCATTCTGTGCGCACACAACTTGCCCCATTCCTTCGGCACTGACAACTTAAACTCTTTAGGTCGAAGAACTATGTCGTGTGCGTTATCCTAGCACTGGGCGCGACGACCGCCATGGGCGGCGCCTTCGGGACGGGAATAGCGTCGGTTATTCACAGGGAAGTGAGCCAGAGACAGGAGATTGTCCCAATCACAATGTGCGTGGCCAGCAATGTTATAATAACAGCATATCTCACCTTATCAGGGTCTGGTTCATCGGCTCTGTGGCCACCGACATCGGCATCGCCGCGGCGCTGGTAGTGCAGCTGCGCAGCTACAGCGCCACCTTCCAGAGCACCCGCAGCATCATCCACCGGCTGATCGTCAGCACAGTTCAGACCGGCTCCGCCACGGCCATCGTCTCTACCCTCGTACTGATCACCTTCGCCATCTGGCCGAACACTGCCATCGCGCTTGCGCCCGGCTTCGTCGTCGGCCGCGTCTACGGCTGCACGCTGCTGTTCAACCTCACCACGCGCCGCATGGGCGAGGCGGGGAACTCGACCGACAAGTCCGACGAGCGCTTCTCCGGCTCGCGGGCCGGCGGCGGCGTGTCGGGGCCGCGCGAGCGTGCGACGCGGCTCGATACGCTGGGCGGTATTCGTGCGTGCCCTTGCCGCGGTCGTTTCCGTCTTCATTTCGCTGATGGTGTCGGTTTGCAGACGTCCACCACATCGTGCAGGTCGACCAGGACCGCGACATCCGCGGGAGCGACTCGAAGCTGGGGAGCGGCGGGGTCGAGTATCTGGCGGACGACCGCAGTGTGGGCGAGCATAAGGCACGGGTGGTTTGAGGCCGACTCGGTGAGGCGGAAAAAATTTAATCACAATATCACGGTATATAGTTTAGTACGAATTGAACGGCGCCATAATTTCGTTTGTAGGACTCAATGAGTCACCCCGCGGATTAATATTTAGAAGTTTGGAGGGAAGAGGATTAAAAGGACCCAATGAATAGAAAAAGGCAATCTTGATAGAAAAAAAAATCGATATTATAATACAAAAAAGCTCCTTCGACTGTTTTTTGCTTCAATCTGAGAAGCCGTATCGACAGCACTAGGTGAGTGGTAGAATTGGAAGGAATATCAGGCGAATCAATTGATTGTCTGATGCGGCATGAAACTGGCCATATTTAGCAAAGCAATGATGAAACATAACTTAATTTTGACTTTTGTCCCAAACCCCCCTTCATTGCCGACCATCACCTCCTTGCGCGATGGATGTCAACCGGCCACCCATCCGCGCGGCGGGTCTTTGGTTCAGCGACTGTGGGCTGGTTTTACAGGCTGAGCACACTTTGTTTCGTATCTCTCGCGACTTCATGGCGACCCATTCACCGATATTCCGGGACATGCTGGCGCTCCCGACGCCGCCCGATGCGGACATGTATGACGGATGCCCGCTCGTTTGCCTTCCGGACTCAGCTGAAGATATGACCCATTTTCTAAAGGCACTGCTGTACTACGAGTGCGTACTCGTTCTTTGCTTTGCCATATTTCCCTGACCTCCCGCAGTTACCTAGCGCCTGAGGTCCAAAACAATCCTGTTGACACCCTACTCTCTGTCCTGAAGATGTCCCACAAGTACGAGGTCTCCTCTCTACGTAAACGGATCCTCAGCCAGATGTCGCTGCTCTTTCCGAGCACCCTCGCCGCGGCCAGTCTAAGCCAGAGCGAGAAGTGCGCGTTCATCAACGACAGGAACGAGGACTTCAGTGTCGACGTCGTCCTTGCTGCGCGCCAGGTCTCCATGGATTGGATCCTCCCGTTCGTCTTCTACCAGATGTGCCGCCTCAGCGACGAGTCGTGCATCCTGGACTCGCCGCTCTCGATGGCGGACAAGAAGCGCTGGATCGTCGGCTGCCGCCGGTTGGAGACCGCCGAGATGACCCGCATGCTACAGTTTCTATGGGACCCCATACCGATCGCGTCGTGCACGCGCGATAATGGCCTATGCGACGGTGTGCGCGTGCGCCTCCGCCAGTTCGCCGAAAGCCGCAGGCACTACAACACCGAGGCGGCGATGCGGCTGCCGCTGGAAATCGTGGAGCCCGCCTACTGGACCTCGCTGCGCAAATCTGTCTGTGTGGCCTGTTTGACCGAGATGGAGACGCTGTATGCAGCCGCCCGCACGGACTTCTGGGCGCGGCTACCCCAGATCTTCGACCTGCCGGGCTGGGAGGAGCTGGAGAAGATCCGGCAGGATGCCTTCGCTCCAGATGTGCAATGGGATTAGCATATAGCCTCCCACTAATCCACATACCATGCTAATTGCGACCTGGAGAAAGATGCTGTTGCGGTCGTTACCCGCATTGCGAACATTTGCCTGTGTTCCACTTCCTCTCTCTCCTTGTTGCTTATCACATCTTGTGCTGCTGAGCTGATGAATTGCAAGCAAGACTCGGATGTGCTATCCTCTTGATTCCAACTGGCAACTGCTGCATCATGATCCTTCCGATTCCTTCGATATATCATATCGCAAAATATGCGGACTTGCTGTCACTCACAATTGCTGCACTTACTCCAGGTGGATTACTCAGATTCACTCCGAAGATTTAATGGCAAGTCATCGTATTGCGGTATCATAGAAGTTGACCTGCGAAGCTGAGGGAGAAGGTCAACCACATTTGGTCCACCGTAGGTGGTTCCTAGTGGTCAGTATAATTAAACTTCATGTGAAGATAAGTGTGCGAGGCTTCCAGCTGGAACTTCCGCAGACTTAGACATCAGGAAAAAATGGAGCTGCAATGTTGAGCTATATGTACTATATAGTAGTCCAAGTAATAGGGCAATTGAATATTAGACCAATCATTACCTACTGCCAAGCTTCACTAAACAATATACTACTACATAGATATATGTATAGCTATATTATGCTATTATTGTTCTACATAGCTAGCTGCAATGCTATATATGCTATATTGAACTTACATTTGCTATACAATGCTATATAGACACTCTATTAGCTATGTGTGCTATACTCTGCAATATAGATGTGTGGATTACTATATGGTGCTATATGTGCTATATTCCACCCCTCTTTGCTATCTTGATTTTGTTTTTCCCTGATGGAGTGGCAGCTAAATTATAATGGCATCTACCAATGATAATTCCAAGCTGAACACACTCTTTCAATGCTCAGCTCACTGTTGTTTTGGGCCAGCTGACTTCAATACTTCTGCGGTTATTGGATTGATTGTGAGAATTTAGAAGAGTATCTTTGGAAGAGAATCACATCAATGCAAATCGTTGAACCGGTGACATGGAGAATGCTGATCTTCTTCCATAAGAACTTAAAAGGGCGGTTCTAGTAGTTTTACGTGCTATATATCATTCTCTCTGTGTCTTGCACTCCCTCACTCACCTTGAAAATGGCTCACTGGGGCACACTGTCATGGCTACAACAATTACTAGTGGTTCTCATCATCCTCTCCACCCATTCAAGTTTCTCTACAGGTGTGCTTAAATGCTCACTTCCCCTTCGTCTCTGATTTCTTACTCTAGTGGCTGCCAATCTCCTATCGCTATCAAATCGGCTAACTGTTAATGTCAGTAGTGATCTTCAAGTTGCATCTTGGATTTGGCTCCCTCAGTCCAACCTTGCTACATCAGCCACCCCAGGAACCGTGGGATTCATATACACATTCTCCTCTCCTGCACGGAAAACTGCCTTCAGTGCTTCCATCATAGTGGCAGCTGACAACAACTTTACCATATGGGTTAATGGCCATCCTATTGGAGCCTCAGCATCGCCAAATTGGGCAGATGGACAGTACCTCACCACAAGCCTCAATTCCACCAGCAATACAATCTCAGCACTTGCTGTCAACTACAATGATTCACCACCAGGCCATACACCAGCAGGCTTTCTGGCTTTTGTTCGTGTATTCTATAATGATGGCTCCAACACTACATTTGCTAGTGACACAAACTGGAAGGTTTCTGGGAATATACCACTGGACTGGCCCCTTCCAAGCAATACTACTCAGTTCATCAATGCCCAAGTTGTGGCAAAGTTTGGTGGAGGGCCGTGGGGCACTGGGATTCAGATAACAGAGCCTGACCTGAGCTCAGCTGATCTCAAAGGAAGCAACTGGATATGGTCTACACTCAATGCCAATGCTAGTGCAGCAGTTGGGAGCGTTGGGTTTCGCAAGACTGTTACCTCACCCCCTGGGAAAACTGCCTCCTCTGCATTTATTGTTGCCTCTGCAGACAACTTCTTCTTGCTCTATGCCAATGGCCACTACTGTACTATTTAACTCAATTCGAATGCCATTTTTAGCGTGACATTCAATACGAAAATTTCAATTCGAATTATTGCCTAATTAGGCAACTGTTGGCGCCGGAGGCGCCCGGAAATGTCAAAAATTACCCTTTTGGGACGTCTTTTTGCTTAAATCTGCGTGACATGTGAAAAAAATTTGTATAAAATCGGCAGTGTGACGTGTGACATTCGAACTGAGTAAAATACTATAGTATGTATCATCCCCTGCAACAGACTCAGTTCCAGATAGTGCAGGAAATATCCTTGCATCCTGGCAATTTGCCTCATATGTGACTACACCACTGACTGCAACCACCAATACGTTTGAGTTCTTTGTAACAAATTTCCCCTTGGTCAACACTATAAGCACCCCTTCACCTGCAGGTTTCATTGCAGTTATTCAGATCAACTACTCAGACGGCTCTACAGATACTATCCACACTGATACAACTTGGCTAGCAGTGCCAGTAACTGATGAACTTGGCCTTAGCAGGATGCCAGATGCATCCTTCTCACCTGCAGCTTCACTTGGCATCTATGGAATGGCCCCATGGAATAGCCTGGGTACAGCAGACACTGTTGACACTAGTCGTATATATATATCTGGAAACAATGTGGGCTCAGGGGCTCCCATTTTGTCTCAATCAGCATTGCCAGTAGGTGGCACCCCAACCAATACTATAAGTGGACCATCCTTCTCATTTGGACCATCACCCAGTCCCTTTGATACAATACCAGGTGCTAATTTTAGTACCCACAGCCAGTTTTTGCCATCCCCCTTAATCCTCATCGTTATTTTATGCGTCTTTTTAAGTATATCATCCATGTAAAAAAAATTCCATTGCTTATAGTCCTATATGTTGTGCTTTTGAATTGAAAGATATAAACAAGGGCTTCTACTATTTTCTTTTTTGTTTGTCAAATTTCTTAAATAAAATAAAAAGAAAAACAAGTGATAAATGTTCAAAACTATTTATAAATCTTCTTCACATCAGACAAAATGGTGCAGTCTGTCCTCAAATTTTGCCATATATTGTGTCAATTTATATGTATCTACCAATGAGAAAAATATTCATTTAAGCTGCAATAGTCCTTTTTCAGTAGAAAATAGATAGCAAAAGTAAACTTCCCATTGATGATATTGCCAAATTGAGAAAGATAAAATGCTATTCAGTACTAAGGAGATGTAATATGAGCTTCATAGTGATGAAGTATTAGTTATAAAATGTGTCCAAGCCTTTCTGAGGTTCTAAAATACTTGAATAGCATTATTGATATTGATCTGACTGTATTTAAAGTGAAAACCATTTAAACTATTTATCGGCATTTAATCCTTGTTTGCCCAAGTTTACAAATAAAATAGGCATTTAAATAAGTATTCATTACTAAAAACTGAAAAGGGTTGGAAATATTTACAAATCCAAAGGGTTTAGAGTCCTGATAGTAACTAGTGGTCCTTGAATTTCATTTTGTAGGTTTTTTTAAGATATTAAACAATAAGTATAACAAGGTGTTTCCATAGCTTCTTAGTGTCATATAAAGCTGACATGCAGTAACTATATCACATCGAAGAACTTCTATATTTGTTGAGTATTGTCACATTTGTGACCTGATACTTCTGAGATTTACATATACTTGGCCACTTCCACAATCTTCCTTGTGAAGAATTAGCGAAAAGATTTGAACAATTTAAATAAATATTTTTCTGAGCAAAATCACCTGTAAATCCCAATTATCTCTTCTAATTAGAATGGCCCACGGGTGATCATTCTAATTAGAAGAGAGATGATATAAAAAGCCCTATGCTGCAATAAAGTGGGACTATAAAACTGCAATATCTCTGAGACCCAAGGCTCTAAGTCATTTCCTGTGTTATTGCACAAGGTCAGTGTGACATTTTGTGACATTTGTGACTGGCATGATACTATTCATGGTGATCTCATATTAGTAATAATAACACCTGTGTAGCCTGGTACGAACTATGAACTGTCAGGCTTACTGAGACAATAAGATGTGACACTGGTATGTCACATTACAAAGAAGCTATCATACAAGTGTATTCTGGTATGAATAGCAATAATATCAGACCTCCAGGACATAGCATTTGGCTCACACTATGATATATGTGACCTAGTGTGATACATTTCTCAAAAAAGGAAATTTTACCGTCTAGCTGTACCATTGTCAGAGAATTTCACAGATTGTCACAAAATTAAAGTTGGATATTTCAACTATACAAACATTTTTCATTAAGTGACCTATACTTACAGCTAAATAATTGTGCTAGCACTGGCCAATTCATAGCTGATCTACATCTAACCCAGTGATATCTCACTGAGTAGATGACTTATATAGGTAATTGAAGCACTACCAAGGGTACCTAGATGATAACATCAATAATGGCCATCATAGATATGGGAGCTCCCTATAATTTTTGATCTCATATCTACCTCTATATATGACATATATCCCAACACACCAATCTCTCAATAACTCACTTGGAAGTGAGGAATCCCCAATGGTATAAGGGTAGCAAGCATGAGAAGGGGTCCCCCTATAAAATTACACTTTTCACACCACATTATATGCATGAAAAATCTTGTTATTCCCCATTCTAATTGTAAGGGCAACCCTGGAGACTGTGACGAAAGCCTAGCAGGGGAGGATCCAAAGCGTGAATAAAAGCTACAGGAAATACATGGAGGGGCAGGGGAGGATCCAAAGAGAAGAAACTCCAAGGGTCCGCCTGCTAGCGCGCCAACTATAGTGGTTGTCCATAACTGCCGACGTAGAGCATAGAAGGTCTGAGTGGCGTCGCAGGCTCTGTCCCAAGGTGATTGTTGCGAGGGTCTTGACGGATCGGTGATTGCGCGGGCAAAGGAGGCCGAAGCAGGGGTTCCCCTGACACTAATGATGAATAGTACTGCACATCATATTGGCAATACAGCTGTAATCTGCTAGTTGACTAT